CACTTTTGATGCACAACCTGAGGTATTCAGAGCTTAATATCTGAGATACTGAGTATCAGTGGCTGAGCTCTGGGCTGCAGAGTTTTGTATTTGGATAACTGGGGCTAAGTTCTCCCATTTTGTTTGCCTAAAACCAAATGATACATTCAGACATGCTGGTCTCTGTGTTTTCCCCAAGCTCTGGTAGTGAGTCACTGAAATCAAGAGTGTTTCTCAGAAATTGCAATTCCCAGTGCAAATGTCAGACCACACCCCCACTTTTGAGACAAAATAGGCATTTCTTAATCTCTCTTTGCTAATGGCCATAGCTCTGAAGCAGTTAATTCAATAATAAAGATGGAAATAGCCAGGAAATGCTGAATGTCTCCCCATGCTGTAACAATCTCCCCCATGGGTAGAATTAACCTTTTCCTGTCTACTTCATATTTGTTAGTAAAGCTGTCATTTCAGAAATGGGCATTTTTCATTACTGTGTTCAGGAGCTGCATTCTTCTTGGATTTTTGCTCTAATTATCCATGTTACCACATTAGGTCTTCATTTACTTTGTTTTGCTTCCCAAGTAGAAATCAGGAGATAAATGCAAGGAATCACCCATTCTATTCCAGTGGGTGGAACACCAAATATTTATGTTTTTAATTATAACACCAAATATTCAGCCTTTCAAGAGGCTGAATATATTTATTTCCGTGTGTGTGTGTGTGTGTGCATTCTTTGATGGGGTGCAGACTATTTATTCCTGATGAAACTATCTTTCTTCTCCTGATACTTTTTAGGTGTTGTAATAACACTGCATGGTATATGTGTGCACTATGGTTACGTGTAGTTTATTTTTTTTTATATTCATTTTTGGTTTTGCCGCATGAACTTCAGCACCCGACTATCACAGATTTTCTCTCTGATATTTTTCTCTATTCCTGGATACATTTCTTGGCTGGGTTGTCTGCACTTCAGCTGTTCTTAAATGCCTCTGGTGTAGGTTTGATTCATTGGAGGACACAGGAGTTGTCTGCACTTGCTGCTTGCTGACCTTTTCTGGCTCTGGTAACAGCGTGCCCTGTGCATGTATGTCAGTGACGCTTTTGTTCTAAGAGCTTGGCAGTTGTTGTTCAGCTGTGAGGCAGAGATCCCCTTTCCCTGAGAGGAATGAGTCTGATTATAGCAGAGCTCTTGGGGGGTCTGACTTTTCCATGGCTGTGAACTTCTTGGAAAAAGTTGCTAGGAGAAGACTACATAGCAAGGGTGGTGGCTCTGCCTTCAGTAACAAAGCTGATTTGTTTTAGAATTTGGGAAACAGAAATCAGACCATCTAATGCTGCAATCTGTGTAGGATTTTCCACTGCCAAACCTTCTACTGCTAAAGCAGTTCCAAAATGTTCCACGAGCATTGGATGGTATTTCTGCTGAGCTGGCTATATAAATTCATTCATATCTGCTCCTACGCTTTAACTCTTCTGGTTTTTGGGAGCTTTTTGTTTGTTCAGTTTGGTTTGGTTTTTTATAGACTGGATGAGGTGGTTTAACAGCAAAGGGAAGACTTTCTTCAAGCAAAGCCTCTTTCCAGGATGCTTGGGATGTCACGTGCAGAGCTCATAGGCACAGAGCTGTGTGACTTGTCCTAAGACACAGCCCATGAGGAGTAGGTAGGGGGCATTGTCACCCTTCCACTGGTGACACAGTGGAGCTGAATGTCTTTCCTTCACCCTCTGTTTACCAAACAGCTGTTTCAGTAAAGCTCCCTGCATTCCCTTAGGTTTGCCATCACCAGACTACCTTGTTAATTATCTGTGTACATTTGGGGCTTAAGATCAGTCATCAGGTAACGATTGTGCCAGTTGTGTACAAAGCAGCAGCACAAGAAGGGTCCATGTCCTGCTTACCCCTCTCAGAGAGTGCTGCCAGCAGAAAAAAAAAAATATCCTCTAACCTTTTTGAGGTTTGCTGCCCAGAAAAGAGCAGTGGGGTCAGCAGCAATGGCAGCTGGCAGGAGCTGCAGGGATCATGGTGAGCTGGAAGAGGCTGGAAGGAGGCAAGAGTGAAAGAAGTTGGCTACTCATGCTTACATGAGTTAACAAGTAGGAGTCAACAAATATTAATCACAAGCCTAAGAAGCAGGATTCGCCTTAGCCCTGTCAAGATAAGAGAAGCAGAATGCACCTTGGCAAGATAAGAGAAACAAAACCTATTGTCAGCAGAAAACGCTGAGCCAACTAGTGAAGGAGTGTGCATGCTTCAGAAAGAAAGGTGAAAAGGGCAGAGTGAGGAAGACTGCCAGCCTTCATCAGAATGAGCCCCGAGGAAGACTCACTTGGAGCCTTCCTCAGTGCAGCCACCAGAGTACACTGCACTTGTGTGTGACAAATGCTAATGCTGTTAATGATTTCTGGGAAGTAATTTGTATAAGCACTCCTATCCCAAGGAATGTAATGAATATGCATGAAATTTAACCATAAATTGTGCTGTGTAAAAGGGCTGGATGTACTTATTAGGAGGAGGGATCCCCCAAATACCCTTCTCACTGAGTTGGTCTCTGAAATTACTCTTAGCTCAACGTTGGAGGGAATCAAGAGGACACGAGGCTGAGTTATGATTTGAGCACTAAAACGTTTTGCTGCAGCTTTGGGTGTTGCCCTCTGTATTATCTGTGTTTATGATACAATACCTTCTCTTGTTGGTCCAGGAAACATGCAGCAATACTAAGTGGCAAGTTTTATGTACTTTGGTGATAACAGAAATATTCTTGCAGAGAGATCTGTGCCTTGTACTTGATAATATCCCATCATTAATTGTAACAATGTTATAAATTGTCTGCCAACGTGCAGTCTAGAAGCTCACACTAAATAATCCTGACACAGGAAAAATCTCGGATAACAGACTTCCAAGTACTTATTTGGCTACGATATACAAGCAAGACAACCACAGGATGATTCACTGCTTTGAGAATTTGGGCTGGATGACCTAATGGCTTCTTTTGGAGAGAAGGCAGTTCTCACTTAGAGCAAGCATGCCTGCAGAGGACGGCTAATTTACACTTGCTTACTGCAGCGCACCACCCAGCCCTGCCTTTGGGCTGCCTGTCCAGCAGTCGGTGCTGGCTGGAGCGATGCTGCCACTCTCCACCCTGAGAGTCCCAGAGGAGAGAGCGAGCGTGTGCTGGCCTCATAGCTGCAGCTGTGGCTCGCAGCCCGGCCGTAGCCCAGAATTGCGGCGCTGGGAGGGAGCAGGAGCGCAGCTGGCGCGGGGCGGAGGCGCCGGCGCGCTCCGCTCACAGCGCGGGCTGGAAGTTCCCCCTGCTGGAGGCACGGACCCACTGCGGCCAGCACAGCAGCGCTCGCCTTCCCCCAGATTTAATTTCTAGAGGTGCTGAACTTGAATAACCTTAATTACGTGTCTCTCTACGCCTGCAGCTTTATCTGAAGGCAGTGAGTCGTTGGTCTGTCTGTCGACACCTCGACGTATTGTTTTTCTGCGTACCAGATCTAGAGAGCCGACACGAGAAAAGGTGTGGTGGGATAGAATGTAAGGAAATAAAGATAGTGCGGAAGGAAATTTCACACCTGAGGAGTTGCAGCTGTACTAATCACCAAAGATTAGGAACAGGCCTGCCCTTAATAGGCCACAGCTGTGTCCAATAAGGATGAGTGCTACAAAAGAGTGGGTTAGCTGGGTGAGGAGAGATGGAGTTTTGTTGGTTGCTTTGTGAAGAAGGAGTGAGTGCTGTGAGGAGCTGCACATGAGAAATCACCGAGAAAGTACAGGAGCTTTGCAATAAGATGACAACAAAAAGGTGATCCTATTACAGAGAACTTTTGATCTAAGCAGAAGAAAAGTGAGGTGTAAGGTTAGGCTGGATGGGGCTCTGAGCAACCTGATCTAGTGGGAGGTGTTCTTGCCCATGGCAGGCAGTTGGAATGAGATGACTTTTAAGTTCTCTTTCAACCAAACCATTTTATGGTAAGGGCTGGATACTGTGGATAAGGCTGTGAAGATGTCTGTGGTAACCTGGGAGTAGAGAAGCCCGTGATCAGCTCCTAGAACTGCTGCCTCTGGTTTGAAATGTTCAGTCTCTCCTTGAAAGAATTCTTGCCAGGTTATTCACAATACATGAGTGATTTTCAGCATCTTTCAGCTATACTGTCTCACAATGATGGGGACACTTTGCTGCAGCTGCCTAGTCTTCAGAAAGAGCAATGTGGCATAGAGGAGAGGATCCTGCAGTGCACCCAGGGACAGGGGTGGCCAGAGCCCTGGACCTAGTGCCAGAAACAGGCCAGCTGCTCCACAGACCAACCTCCAAGTAAAGCTTGGGGCTGCTCTGGTGGCCAGCTTGAGATCTCAGGATTACTACAAGACAAAACCTCATAATGAATCGCCATGGGCACATGTGTTTCCAGTAGAAGGGGGAAAACCAAAGCAGGGGAGACGATTTCAGGCAATCTAACCACATTTGGCATGTCTCAGTGAAAGAAAGGAAAAGAACCCAAAGGAAACTTAAAGAGAACAACCTGCAGGTCAAACCAACATATGTTGTTTTGTGTGTGGGCAGCTGTTCCTCATGGAAATTGGACTTGACAGCCATGAGACCCGCTAATGAAAAGTGATGTCGATGAGAGATTCCTGCTTGTCATCACTGATGATGATGGGAATTTACCTGGATCCTATGGCCAATACCCTTGTCCGTTGTGCCTGGGCATTTTGCAGGGTAGGGGGAAACGGGGAAATCCTTCTCTTTTTACGGACCCCGAGCCTTAGCTTTGCCTTTCCTTTGCTGAGAACAGTCCCTTGGGTTTCCTTCGTGCCCTGCTCGGCTGCGGTTGTCCAGAAGCTCTCGGTGCCGCGGCTGGGGCAGGGACCCTTTCCTCACGCCAAATCTCCCTCCGGGGAGCGTGGGGGGCTCCCGCTCCTCCTCCCGCGGGGGGCGGCTGCGGGCCCTGCCCAGTGTGGGCGGCCGGGCCCGGCTGCGCGTTGGCTGCGGGCGGCGCCGCCAGTGAGGCTGCGCTGAGGCTGCGGGGCCGGATGGCCGAGCCGCCCGCCCCGCGCACTCGGGCGGCGGCCGGCAGCGGGCGAGCACACCGGGCGAGCCCTCCGTGCCGGGAGAGCCGGCCCTGCGGCACACGGCAGCGCCATGGTCTCATGGATCATCTCCAGGCTCGTGGTGTGAGTAGCTGCCGCTCGGCACCTGCAGCGTGCGCCAGCATGTCCGCGCGTGTGTGTGTGTGTGTGTGTGTGCGGCGTCCGCCCCGCTGCCCCTGCTGTGGATACCGGGCTAAATTTAGCAGCTTGTTGTCGGGGCCGGGGCGCTGAGCTGCCCGGCGGGTGAGGCAGGTGGGTCAGGTGGGATTTTCCAGCATGAGAAAATCACCGGGGGTGGGGTGCAGGGCAAAGCGCTGCCGCGCTGTGCAGCGCAAGGTGACAGCGGAGAAAAAGAGCGGGTGGTGACATCGCCCGGAGGGGCTCGGGGTCCCGAGGGGCTGATGGAGCATCCACGGGTGGGAAAATGGACACGGGCTTGTCTCGGCGCTTTGTTACCGGGCTCGGGGGGTCCCGAGGGGCTGATGGAGCATCCACGGGTGGGAAAATGGACACGGGCTTGTCTCGGCGCTTTGTTACCGGGCTCGGCGTGGCCGGGGGCTCGCGAGGGGGCGTGGGAGAGGCGGCCGCGGGGTCTCCCAGCCGCCGCTTTCTTCTGTCTGTTTCGCGAAATAAATATCAAATATTCCTTTCCTCTTTGCGACTTGCCGCCCGTCCTCTCAAAAGGCGATCTCGCTCTCCCTTTAACCTGTCAGTCTGGGTTGAAGAAGCGTGTGGCTCTTTGCGTTCGTCCTACAGCTTTTCCATGGCTGAAGCTGCTCTAGGTGGGAATAGATGTAAAAATTCCCTGGAAATTCTTCCCAGGCAACAGGGGGAAACGGAGCAAGCTCGATGTATATGTTTATCTGCCCCATCTCAGGAGAGGTTTAGGGAGAAAAAGGCGTTTTGGATGTAATTTGGAAAATTCCTGGAGGAGGGAGATTACAGTCTTAAGGTGGGGCAGCAGGATGGCTGATCTCCCTCCTGGAAATGTGACTGGGGAAGGCTAATATATGGCATCAGATGAATAATGTGCCAGTTTTCTCCATCATATACATGCAGATGCCTCTCCTGCAGATTCAGGAGGACATCTGTTGTGCTCTTAAGTTATTTTAGAGCATCTGTGAGGGCCTGTCACTTTCTTTGTCTGAAAGAAACGTGCCATGATGTTGCACCATCAGCATGTTTCCAGAAAAGCATTTTCCTGGTCTCTTTTGCCATATAAGATGAAATATCAACAGGAAAACTCACCTTTGACTTAGTTATATCTCTATATCAGTAAGACATTAAGTGTCAGATGTTGAAGGTTTTAGGGGGCTCTGGAGTTGAATTTAGCCCCTGGAGGTCTGTCATCTGGATTCAGCTGCAGCTAGCCATTATTTGGCTTGCACTTCATTCTGGGAAAGAGTGTTAAATATTTAAAAGATTTAATCTGAACAGTATAACTGTGCAGGTATCTCTGCCAGCAATGTGTGATGTAGCATGTATTGTCTAAGGCAGCTTTTCTTTCTTCCTTTACTAGACTAATTTCCACTTTGAAAAACCCCACATTATCGTGTAACCCAGCTAATCCTCAAGAACAAAGAATGTCTACACAGAGGTGGTACTTTAACTTACTTGTCTGAGCACATGCACATCTACACAGATGATTTCATTGAAGACACATGGGCTGGGTAAAAATCTGCTAGGGGCAGGACCTGGAGCGATTCAGGAGTCAGGTAGTTAGCTGAGCACACAGACCTTCCTGCTCTCTTCAGTGTTATCACAATAACATGTCACAGCATGGACTCAGCTGTGCAGAGGGCAGTACCAGTTATTTGTTATGCTGCATTTTCAGTAGCAAATAATGAATATGCAGTGTAAATATTAATTATTTAGCAGTCATAGTAATAAGTAAGAATTTTGCAAGGAAACCTAGGGCAAGCCAAGCTTGGTCACCACTTTCTTTCCACTGCTGAGTGTACATCCATCCTTTAAGATTATTTTGCACCAGGAAGTGCTGGTTTGTTAAGATCCCAGTCAGAAATTTGGATTCTTCAGAGTATTGCTTAAAACACCATTTGCTAGAGGTAGCATTGCATAAAACAGGAGGAGATTATAAATAATCTTACATTCCATCAGATCCCAGAAACCCTGAGGTGTCTGACATGGAGGAGCCCTCTGTCTGACACAGCACACCATGCAGATCTGTCTGTGCAAAGGTTCCCTTACACTTTGATCTTTTCAACTCTCAGAGCATTTTTTGTTTTGAAAGACATTTCCATTCCTCACTCCTACTGCCAGATGAAAAGGATGTTCACAAGAGAGCTTGTTGCTACACTTAGATGGAGACAAAGGTGGGCAGGTGGTTTAATGTCAGGTGATGAGCAAGTTTCTCCTGTATCCAAGAGGAATGTGCATCCCACCACAGGCCAGACAGCCAGGATCCCCCTGCAGCACAGCACAGACCATCCAGAGTAACTGGGATTTGGATCCCTGACTCTTTGGTGTACAGAAGGTCTTCAGATTAGGATCATGGCAAAGATTGAATCCATTTAATCCAGTTTCCCCATTTCATTATGAATCACTGGTTGATCCAGCAGTACAGATAGCTGTGCTTAAGTAGAATGGCCACCTGGTTGGGCTTTTTTCCCCTCTGCTTGTGTCTATGTAGTTGTTTTTTCATTAACTCTTATTAACTTATAAGGATTATGAAGAAAGTGGCGTGGTGTGGTTTAGTCACACTCTTAATGTTGATTTATGCTCTTATGACTTCTGCTGATCTCCACAGGGGCTGTGTCTGATATGACTCAGCTAACAGAAAGGGCTTTAGACAAAAGCAAGCCTTTGCTTCCTTTGCTTTGTCTCTTAGGAGCTTTGCTGCTTCCACTGTCTCTGATTTGGTTGTTACTGGTTCTGTCCTGGCAGTTTCTATTTCCAAAGCATTGCTGAAGGAGAAGAACCTGTGAGCACTTCTCACCCTTTTCAGCAGGAAGCCAGGCAGCTCATTGCAAACCTTCTCTTACCTCATTTCACCTTTAATGTTTGGGCTTTATGTCCAGAGTGCTGGCTGGTTCTGTTCTGCCTGCAGATCTGTGTGCTGGGAACCCTCAGAAGAGAAATGATACCTTCAGAGCAGCATCTCTGCCATAGCTGTGTGTTCAAGTCAAGGATATTATGTTCAGGATCTGCCCTAGGTACTGTACAAATGTGAAACAAAAAGGTAATTGTGTCCCTGGATGTCTTTTTCCTCTAAGAGCTCAAGTCTCATTCTCCTGTGGTACTACTCCCAAGTAGCTTTTTCACTCATCTCAGTGAGAACAAAATCAGGACATTTTTCTCATGGCAGTGAATTACAGATGACTTTTCCACCAAGGGATGCCTGTGATCTCTGGAATTGCAATTGTTGCATCTTGGAGTGACTTGTTCCTATGTCTCTCACAGCAACTGGAGTGGGAAAGCATCATTATTTGTAGGTTAATTACAGCCTTTTTTTATTCTTCATCTCTGAGTACATCTCAAAGGACATTCTGGAGCACCTGTATCTCAGTTTCTTCATCTGTGAAGTGTAATGAACTGTTGTGAATTTATCTTCCCTGAGGCAGACCAGAAGGGACCATTGGTCTGTCTTAGCACTACAAATTATTGCTGTTCATTTCAAAGGAGATTCAATTTCCCTCAAAAGGCAGAGGCCTCTCTAGGAGAAGGACTTGGGGATCTGTCTTTGTTATTGCAGACCAGTTCAGCTACAGTGCACAGCACTGGCAATCCTGGATAGCTACTTTTGGCTGTTGTCTACAGGCCCTTTGAAGTTAAAAGTTGTGGATATAAATGCAGCCTATTGTATTGGCATGGGAATCCTGTCCTTGGTCAGAAACATGAGACTTGGTTTATGTGCTTGGGATCACACAGAACAGAAATAAAGGGTTTTGGCTCCCATTCTGAAAGTTAGACACATCACACTGCCTGTTGAAAGACTTTCAATCTGGAACACCTGGCAGAGGAAGGAAATGCCAGTAGAAACAAAGCTGGGTTAGACAGGTTATCAGTAGATGATATGATGCTATGTGATGACTTAGGCATTTGAATTCCTCCTGTGAGAAGCTTAGAAGTGCATTGCAAATTGTTATAAAATGGTTAAATATGTTCTTCATGGTGAAAATTCACAGCCTTAATTATGATTTTTTTTTTGCCTGCATTTATTTTCTTTTAAATCAAGATATCATTAATGGCCTCTCTGATCTCTTATGTTTTGATGTGAAAGAGAATGGCAGCTTTAGGTATGTTTACTGGGAATTCCCATCCCTGTGTGCTGGCTGTCCCTGGAAGGGGTTGGATTTTGAACAAAATCAAAGGGGAACCAAATAATTCTTTAACCTGATGTGTGATTTCCTTCTCTATCACAGTTTATTAGCTTTCTCTTTCTTGGTTATTGTGATGCTGTTTTAGCAAGGCTGTGAGATTGGCCACCCCATCTTCACCTGGTGTCAATTCATAGTGCTACTGAGTCAGACATTGATTTCATCTTTGTATCTGTAAAGAATTTCCATTTTAGAGAAACTGAGCAGATCCTTCCTCCTCCCACTTTTCATGTGTATAGGAAGCCTGAAGAAATTTATGAATGAAACAAAACCTGAAAAGTCATATCATGGCTATTATCTGAAGGTAGAAAATGATAACTTGTGTCTTCTTTATGAGAGGCAGAGACAGGATCCACTCAAGCAGGCAGGGACTTCTCTCATAAAAGCAGAGCACAGCTTCAAGCTGTTGGTTATTGACGCATCAGCATTAGCATTTCAGCTGATGTTACCACTTGATATATATAATGTGTTGGTTATTGATACATCTGCATTTGTATTTTAGTTGTCATACGTCCTGTATGTGAAGGTCTGTAGTATTCACATATTTTCTGAACAGAGAGAGACTTAATTCTCTCCCAGGATTTTCCTGAGAAGCTGTGAGAAAGCTCAGAGAAAACAATTCTTATCTCCACTAAGGTCCTTCACAGCCTGCTTTTCTTGGTGCTGGCAGGTGACATGAGGGATTCAGGTGTTCATTGCTCTCTGCAGGCCTCACACCAGAGGTGTAAAATTAGCTGAAAATACAGC